GCTACCCTGCAGTCATCAGAAAACACAAATGGGTGATCTTTTTCAAGCAATTTACACAAGGGGTTAGCAATTTTGGAAAAATCTTTTATAAATCTCCTATAGAAACCGGCGTGCCCAAGAACATTTCTGATTTCTTTGACTGAGGTGGGTGGTGGAAGCTTTTCTATCACATCAACTTTTGCACGTTCTACCTCAATACCTTTACTTGACACTAGGTTCCCCAGGACTATACCTTCCTGTACCATAAAATGGCACTTTTCCCAATTTAGTACCAGATTAGTCTTTATACACCTTTTCAAAACTCGCCTCAAGTTCACAAGGCAATCATCGAATGAATTCCCCACCACTGATAAGTCATCCATGAAAACCTCCATTATCTCCTATACCATATCTGTGAAGATGGCCATCATGCACCTCTGAAATGTGGCGGGTGCATTGCATAAGCCAAACGGCATTCTCCGAAAATCATAGATTCCATAAGGGCAGGTGAACGACGTTTTCTCTCTATCCTCCGGGGCAATGGAAATCTGATTATACCCCGAGTACCCATCCAAAAGTAAAAGTGAGACCTCCCTGCCAATCTATCTAGTATCTAATCAATGAATGGCAGTGGGAAGTGGTCTTTCCTGGTGACCAAGTTCAACTTCCTGTAGTCCATACAGATTCGCCATCCTGTGACAGTTTGTGTAGAGATCAACTCATTCTTCTCATTTTTCACTACTGTCATACCTCCCTTTTTTGGTACACACTGCACTGGGCTAACCCAGTTGCTGTCAGAGATGGGGAATATGATTCCCGCATCTAACCGTTTAATCACTTCCTTTTTCACCACTTCTTTCATGTTGGGGTTTAATCTTCTTTGATGTTCTCTGGAAGGTTTGTGCCCATCTTCCAGCAGAATCTTATGCATACAGAAGGCAGGTCTGATCCCCTTAATGTCTGCAATGGTCCACCCAATTGTCGTCTTGCACTCAGTTAGTACCTGCAAAAGTTGTTCTACCTGCACATCTAACAAACTGGATGAGATAATAACAGGTAGAGTTGAGTCAGGTCCTAAGAATGCATACCTGAGATGGGATGGCAATGGCAGTTCCAGCTTTGATGGATCTTTTATTGATGGCTTAGCTGGAGGAGTTTTTCTTTCCTCCAAGTGCAAAGGCTCAAATTCCAACTCCCTTTTCCAAAAACCTTGGCCTTCAAGCGCAAGTACCCACTCTGCCAATTCTTCACCATTAGCTTCATCTAAGTTCATGATAGAAGCTGCTAGAGGGTCTTTAAGGTTCAATGTTGCATCGTCCTCCTCCAACACTACATCTACCGCATCTATTAGAGAGTAGTTGGCAAATTCACTAGGTCTGCGCATAGATTTCTGCACATTGAATGTTATCTCTTCATCATTCAATCTCATTTTGAGTTCTCCAGTTTCACAATCAATTAGAGCTCTTCCAGTGGCCAAAAATAGTCTTCCCAAAATTATGGGAATTTCCTTGTCAACCCGACAGTCAAGGATGACGAAATCTGCTGGAAAAACAAAACCCAACCTGCACCAATACATCATCTAGAATCCCGGAGGGCCTTTTCACAGTTTGGTCAACCAGCTGTAGTAGCATAGACGTGGGTCTAGCCCTTCCCATGCCTAACCTTTTGTAGATAGCTAGAGGCATAAGGTTTATGCTTGCTCCCAGATCACACAGTGCCTTAGCAAATGAAAAGTTGCCTATTATGCAAGGGATTGTGAAACTCCCTAGGTTAGACAGCTTCTTAGCTATGGGTCTCGTCACAACAGCACTACAGGTCTGAGTTAGTGTAACCGTGGCCAAGTATTGGAAGTCAAACTTGCGAGACATCAAGTCCTTCATCATCTTTGCATACCCAGGCATTTCCATTAAATCATCAATCAATGGAATGTTTACATGAATCTACTTCAACTTCTCCAAGAATTTCTTGTACAACTCATCTTTTTGATACTTAGCCAATCTCTGTGGGAATGGTGCTGGAGGTCGCTTCTTCCCTGTAATTTGGCTTTTCTCTTGTTCATTCACTGCTTCTACTGTCGGTTCCGGTGCAGCTTCAGTCTCTTTTTCAACCACATCTTCCTTGTTGATGTCTTCTTGCGCATTCTATACTGTCACCTCAGTTAAACCTCCTGAATCATCTAACTCAATGGGTACTGGCACCAGTGTCTTAGTCGGCCTATTTTCACGAGCAATTTCTTGCTCCAGATCTAAGTCCCTACCATTCCGGAAACTCACTCCCTTCAGCTGCTTCGGGCCCTGCTCTTTTGGATTGATTTGGGTGTCAGCAGGTAACGCGGCCATGGAAATTTGTCCTAACTAGATCTCAATATTTTTGATCGCTGACTCATGTGAGTCTACTCTGTCAGCTAGCTTTCCAGTGGGCCCAATCACTTGTTGCATCATACCCTCGAGTTTAGCAAACCCATCTTCATGTCTCACAATCTGTTGTTGTGGAGGTTATTGATAAGCCTGCTTCTGATTTTGCTGGTTGTGCCCTTGTCTTTGGTAAGGCACCATTTGCCCATGTGGTCGCATAGCACCATGATTATTGTTGTTATTGTACTGTTGCTGAGCTGGTATGTATTGTTGATTTTGCTGACCCCAATTCTGACCACCTGGTCTCGATCCCCCATAGTTAGCCACATAATTCATGTTCTCCTGATATTATTGATTATCACCTTCAGCACTCCGTGAGCAGACATATGGTTGATTAATGCATGATGTGCATAGACCCTCATTAGTTGCATCAATTATGTGTACTTGCTTCTTCTGGCATGATTCTTCCACCTTTTTGGTGAGGATGCTCATTTATGTCATCAAAGTAGCCATATTTTTAGCCATGGAGTTAGCTGAGTCTAGAGCCACTGAGTGAACCATAGGAGTGATTGGAGCGTTCCTTGTTGTCCACCCTGAGTTTTGTGTCATCTTGTCAAGAAGGATCTTGCTCTCTCTGAATGTCTTGCTCAAAAATGCTCCACCTGCTGAAGCATCAACATTAGCCTTCAAAGTATCTGCTAAACCCATGTAAAATCTATGCCCCAACATCTGCTCCGGAATACCATGATATGGACATGTAACTAGGAGGCCCTTGAATCTCTCCCACGTTTCATGCAGCGTCTCAGTGGGTTTCTGTTTGAAGCTCAATATCTCATCAATTTGTTGAGCAGTCTTGTTGGGTGGATGAAATTTGCTCAAATATTTCTTGACTAATTCCTCCCAAGTAGTGATGGAGTTGATAGGGAGTGAATTAAGCCAAGTTTGGGCTGCTCCTGTTACTGAGAATGGAAACAACAACAAACGTATTGCTTCCGGTGTGACATTGTGTTGTCTCTGCGTGGCACAAATTGAGAGGAAGTTCTTTAGATGTTGTTGAGGATCTTCAACATATGACACAGAGAATAGTCTCTTGTTCTGCAACAAATGCAACATATTATTGGTGATCTGGAATGAGTCTGCTTGTATCTGAGGGACTACAATAGCAGTTGCTAAGTTGTCAGTTGTGGGTTATGCCCAGTCATATAGTGATGCTTCTGGCACAAGAGGTGTCACACCCTGATCATTTGGGCCATTTGCGTTGTTTCTGTTGTTTGGGTCATTCACGTTGTCCCTGTTGTTTAGATTATCTTCTTTCATGTCTGATTCAATTCTTTCGGTTGAGTTTTGTTGTTGTTTGCCTTTCCTGTTTGCACGATTCAATTCCTTGAACACCTTCTCAGGGTCTGATAATGCTTCGAACAATTCTCCAGTTCTTGAGGAGTTTCTAGGCATGCACCTATGACAACCACGACCACAAACGTTAGAATTTCAATGATCAGTTTAAATTGAAGAAAATTGACTACACTAAAAAATTTTGCACTTCTTTTTAACTGCAATCAATAGCACCGTTAATTTCCCGGCAACGGCGCCAAAATTTGATCACTCCCAATTATGCCTTATAAAAAGAACAAAGCGGTCGCTGCAAATATATTCCGGTTAACAAGTCCGGAGTCGAATCCCACAAGGAATTAACCTATCAATCACAGCTAATGGACTCACAAAAATTCACGTATTCAATCTTCAGAGATATTTAATTAATAATTTGGGTGTTTATTAACTAAATATTATGTAATAAAAATGCAGTAAATGAAGACTAGCTATAGACTAATTGTAAGCAAGAATGAGAATGATCTAAGGTTATGATTTCCCCTCTTGTCGGAATCCTTTCCTCTATGTTTGCTATAAATTTGCCTAAGTCTTCTCTATCGATCAAGAGCACTCTGACTGTCGTAACTCTCTCCCGAGTAACTACAACAATATACTAGACATATTCTCCCGAATTACGCTAGTTGGCCTTAGTTACAGCTCATTTAGATCGCACCCAAGGTTTCATTATCCCTAATCCCACCTTTAAACCCTTCGTATTGATCCCTCATATACGTTAGGAGTGATGTTGTTCAACAACTACCTAAATATACATTCTCTCCCGAGTAATGCATACCAAAGAGGCACAGCCGATTGAGAGCCCTTCAATCAACAGCAATCACAATATAATTGAACAAACAGAGAAATTATTAAGGCAAATCTATATTAACATATCAGAAATTCATTCTCCAAGAGGTTCCATCAAAACCCTAGATTAAATGTTTAGCTACGCATAATCGTTTTCACAATCACAGCAGTAGAATTCATCATTAAAGATGAAAACAAGAGGAAGAAAGGTAAAACTCTATGCTGATTCTTCCGCCTTGCCTCTTGCCTCTTCTTGCTTTCAATAATCCTTCAAAAACCTTGATATCCTCTCTTTGGGCGACCTGGGCTTCTTATATGTTAAGGAGAGTTGCCCCCGAAGTTACAAAATTACCCCTGAAAACAATTTTTCTCGAGGTGACGAGCGCAGCCGCGCTTGGGCCGCGCATATCGCGTTATGTTCTGACTGAGAGCGCGGCTGGAGCGTGCCCGGGCTTGGCCCGTGCTCGTGAAGTTCAGCTGTTTGCTATTTTTTTCCTTCTCCTTTCACACGCGTTCACCTTCGATTGGCTTTCCTTGCTCCAAACACTGCTTAATGTCCTCATAATAAAGACTTGCTCCTGCAAAGCACAAAATTCATAATTAAAGCTATTTGTTGTCATTTAACCTTCATATAACAATAAAGCATAGCTAAGTTGTAAATATAGCCTATTATCAGGTTAGCTTCCTAATATTTCAGACACTGCAATCAACTAAAAATTTGATCATTAATTTTACATTATTTAACTAGGTAGAAAATCCTAATATTAAATATTCCCCTTTTCATTATTTGACCCGTATAGAGTGGTAGTCTTTTTAAAATATCTAATATAGAAGAATTTGAAGTAAATTAATATTAGAACTCTTTAAAGGAAGTTCCAATATAGATGAATACACATATATCAGACAAGGTGATGATCTTAAAATTATGCAAAGCTAATTGCCATATGTATACTATTCTAGGTAATAGAAGAGATGATAGTTGGTAACAAATATCTTGGTGTTTCAGAACAATTTGCAAGTATTATACATTCCTAATATAAATTTGTTAAGAGTTAGTTTATATTACTAGGTAAACTAAACAGGACTTTAAAATTATTACGTTACATAAATCCTTTCTTTATTTGAATTATGTAATATAACTAAATTAAAAGGTTGAAATCAATTAATATTTTGTCTATTAAGTCCTTCTCTATTTGAACTATTACCATCTAGGAAACTGTTATTTTTTTATTTTTTTATTTACGTCAAGAATTGTTAAAAGTATCTTTATAATTTGAAAATAATTTTATTCTATTTAAAAATAGATTTAACATTGAAAAATATATAATATTTAAAATTATTTTTAATATTTAATATTTTAAAATCAACTAAAAAAGTATAATTATTAAATTACTTGTCTAATAAGACTTCTTTTGAATCTTTTTGAGTTTCTCAGTTTATTACAGGTAAGGAATGATGAAGCAAGTTTTTATTTCAAGTCTTTGTATTAAATAACAAATCAAACCAACCTAACTTATGTACACCTCTAATACTAATATAGGTCTTTAATAAAGGAAATCAGAATAAAATTTCTCTAGGGTTTATCAAAGCACTTCAATTTTAAACCTTTTAGTTAAGATATTTATTCAATTAAAGTACTAATTTTAAAAATAAAAATTAGAAGATATATCACTAGTTCTTCTTTGTTGTTCTTGTGTATGAGGTGCGATTGAAGCTTTGAATAAATCATAATTGAGATTGAAAGCATATCATGTTTCTAAAAGTGATTCTTTTATATGAATATTATCTTCTCAATTCTTATAATATCAATATTTTGTTATACAATTTATAATATAATGTTTATGAAGTTTTTTGAAAAAAATCAACTTATTGAGGCCAGTGACATAACCAACGCGCACACCCAAAGAATAAGTATTATAGTTTAAATAGAGCTAGAGGAAAAGAAAAAAAAGTGTTAATCTGTTGATTTCTCGTTTTCTTTCCTCTTACCTTAGAGAAATCGGCAAAGTCAAAAATTTCTATACATAAACTCTTTGGTATTTCAATGGCTAATTCTGGCAAAATACAGTTGAGTCGTCTTCATTCAGTGGCGTACGCTATATTTTTCGTAAGCGGTGTCATCATTTTAAACCGTGAATAAGTAAATGAATCTATTAAAAAAAGAACATGATTTGAATCATATTAATAACTCAAGCATATTATTACAAATTTTCATTTTTTGAAATGCATTCAAAATAAACTCATTAGAATAAAAAAAATTTACATAAGGCACCAAACATTCAATTAAAAACTCATCATTCATTTGATTTGGCAAATTATTTTTATAAATTTTATCATCGAGAATACAGATGAACAGAAAGAAAAAAAAATAGCCGAACTACTTATGGAGATTTTGTTAAAAACTAAAAGGTCAATAGCTCAAATCTAGCTGGTGTATCTTAAGCACAAAAATACTAAAACAAATAATGATGTTGTACGCCTTCGAACTCGGGACCTCATTTCTAAAATTGAAACGCTCGACCAGACAACCTGCTTAACTCTTTTACCAGTAGTGTCACTTAATTTTATTTGTTCTAGTTTTTGTTTCGACATTTCAACCATATATAATATTTAGTAAAATTTCCCTACGAAACGTGACACTACTTCGCCTAAGGTAGATCCACCCCTGGTGATCCCGTCCAAAATGATTTTTTAGCATATATTTTATAGGCCACTTTCCAGACGGATAAACCGACTGATAACCGACAGCTAATGTTATATTAAATCAACTGATATCTTACCAATTGGATAGCAGATTAGTACATGCAAAAGCCGGTAATCGATAAGCCAAACCGATAAACGCAAATATCCAATTGATCGCCCGATAAGCAGCCCTAGTACAACCTAAAGAACATTCTAAGTTTAGTTACACCCCCGAATAAAAGCACTTTTACCTCGCTATAATTTATGTAGACTTTTTTCTTTTTTTATAAGGAAATTTATGTAGGGGCAGAGCAGCGGGGCCAGACAAAATCCTGATGGAATTCGGGAAGAGCGCGGGGCGGGCAGTTTTGGAGTGGCTCACTAGGCTGTTTAATGTTATTTTTAAGGCAAAAAAAATGCTCGAAGAATGGAGGTGGAGTACAATGGTTCCGCTTTACAAGAACAATGGTGATATCCAAAATTGCAACAATTATAGAAATATCAAGTTATTGAATCACAATGAAGGTTTGGGAGAGAGTGGTGGAGGCCAGGGTGAGGAAGTGCGTGTCTATTTCCGAGAATCAGTTTGGATTCATGCCGGGGCGTTCGACTACGGAAGCGATTCATCTAGTAAGGAGATTAGTGGAGCAGTACAGGGAAAGGAAGAAGGATTTACCTATGGTGTTTATTGACCTTGAGAAGGCATACGATAAAGTTCCGAGGGAGGTCCTGTGGAGGTGTTTGAAGGTTAACGGCGTTCTGGTAGCGTACATTAGGGTGATTAAGGATATGTATGATGATGCTAAGACTCGGGTGAGGACTGTGGGTGGTGACTCGGACCATTTCCCTTTGGTGATGGGGTTGCACCAGGGATCGGCTCTTAGCCCATTTTTGTTTGCCTTGGCGATGGATGTACAGATCCAAGGGGAGGAGGTGCCTTGGTGCATGTTATTTGCTGATGATATAGTGTTGATAGATGAGACGCGTAGCGAAGTTAACGCGAGGTTAGAGGTTTGGAGACAGACCTTGGAGTGCAAAGGTTTCAAACTGAGTAGAACCAAGACAGAATACTTGGAGTGCAAATTCAGTGAGACCCATGATGCAGACATAGAGGTTAAGCTTGATTCTCAAGTCATCTCCAAGAGAGCGAAGTTTAAGTATCTCGGGTCTATTATCCAAGGTAACGGGGAGATTGACGAAGATGTCACACATCGCATCGGAGCGGGGTGGATGAAGTGGAGGCTCGCTTCCGGTGTTCTATGTGATAAGAATGTGCCGTTAAGACTTAAGGGTAAGTTTTATCGAGTGATGGTTCGACCCGTTATGCTGTATGGGGCTGAGTGTTGGCCAGTCAAAAACTCCCACGTGCAGAAGATGAGAGTAGCAGAGATGAGGATGTTGGGATGGATGTGTGGGTGTACCAAGCGAGATAGAATTAGGAATGAAGCTATCCGGGACAGAGTGGAAGTAGCCTCCGTGGAGGACGAGATGCGGGAGTCGCGGCTGAGATGGTTCGGACATGTTAGGAGAAGAAGCATTGATGCCCCTGTCAGGAGGTGTGAGAGGTTGGCCATGGAGAATTTGAGAAGGGGTCGAGGTAGGCTTAAGAAGTACTGGGGAGAGGTGATTAGACAGGACATGGCACTGCTTCAGCTCACTGAGGACATGACCCTTGATAGGAGGGTGTGGAGGTCGAGGATTAAGGTAGAAGGTTAGTAGGTAGTTTATAGTGTTCACCAATAGGCTTAGTAGCATGCATCTCCCTTCATATTCTTTGATTTTTATTATGGTATGTGGTTTTGTTCGCATCAGGTATTGTAATCCGTGTTGCTATTATTGGATACTGTTTTCCTTCTTTTCTTCCCTCTTCTTCTTGCCCTTCCTGAGCTGAGATTCCATTGGAAGTAGCCTCTCTACCTGCATTAGGTAGGGGTAAGCTCTACGTACAGACTACCCTCCCTAGACCCCACATGTTGGGATCAAACTGGGTTTGTTGTTATTGTTGTTGTTGTTGTTGTATTTTTTCTCCCCAGTTCAGTAGAGAGCACCCTAAGCTTTTATCAATTAGAAGTTGCAATCAATCAATCTTTGGTTTCTCATTAAGTTCATGCTCATGTCATAGAAACATGGATCTGGCGAGGCCATTGTAGCATGTGCGCCGCCCGAGGCACAAGGGGCATGATGACTTGACGTCATCCTCACCTTCCTCCGGCTTACACCGACAATCTGTTCGGGGCCTTGTACACACCGCCCGTCACACTATGGAAGCTGGCTATGCCCGAAGTCTTTCACTTAACCACAAGGAGGGGGATGCCGAAGGCAGGACTAGTGATGACTGGAGTGAAGTCGTAACAAGGTAGCCATACTGGAAGGTACATCTACCATTTCACCACCAAGGCATCTTGAAAGTGAATCGTATTCCGTGAACATGACATCTATCTAGATTGAGACAGGACTAGTGATGACTGGAGTGAAGTCGTAACAAGGTAGCCACACTGGAAGGTGCATCTACCATTTCACCAACAAGGCATCTTGAAAGTGAATCGAATTCCATGAATATGATATCTATCTAGTGTGATGTATGTAATATATGACAAAGGTGGTCTTTATATCATTTTATCCACATCGGGATAAAGAAAGAGAGAATAAAGAACCATATACTTCACAGCTGAACTTATTAGAACGTGGATACACCACAGCTGTATAGCAAGTAAAAAATTTAGGCACTAACACCTGAAACATGTATGGAGAAAGGCAAGTGATTTCGACTCACAAGTCTGCATGCACATCATATGCATCATCACCAAAGCTTTCCAATTTCGCTGAACTCAAGTGTTTTCGGCCAGTAAGTCTCGAAAGAATCAGCCTTGCGATATTTTCACCAGCAACAGCACTAGTTTCCATGGTGCTAGCTGCATTTTCAAAAGCATTCACATAGTACAAGTGCTGACCATCCAAGATAAAGGGTGCAAATACCTCAGGAGCATGATAGTGCGGGTATGCAGCCCAGTCTATCCGGACTGTCTCATTTCTGACACTGCAAACACAAAAATGAAAACGCTCAGCCTGTAATCAATCCTTTGAAAAAGTTAAATCCTTTAGATTTACAATGGGGATTTCCGTAACAGATGAAGTTCGAGAGATTCAAATTTGATTCTATAATCTAACAAATGCTAAGAACAAATGCAGTCAGGATTGGTTTTCCCACTCCAGAAGTAAAAAAACTGGTTTAATAAGACAAAGGCACTACATAATAAAAGGGCAATGTGAGCCATGAGCCCCTTTTCAAAAGAAACATCGCTTGTACGATATCCATGATGCTTGTACAGTCCCACAATCATAACAGCAATATTACGTAACTCATCATAATGGTTACAAGATAAACTTTCACCATGCCACCTAAGAATCTTGGATCCAGAAGTCGTAATAATATGCCTCTTGACTTCTCCAAGAGTACACAGAAAAAAGAGTACATAATTCTATAAATCCTCCAACAGGAGGAATCCTCCATGCATAAAAGAATCACATGAATTATGTAGTCTTTTGTCTTTTCTCCTAGTTTTCTTTTGGTGATGGAGCCTAAAGTAACATTGGCTGATGTACTTGGTTGGAATTAGACAAATGATTTTGAGATTGGTCAACTGTTTCCATGGCAATGGAGATTACCTAAGTCATGATAGTTAACATTTAACCAATAGCTGGGAGAATTGATTAGGCAATAGTTCCTTGTATGAATCTAATAACCACGGAATCAAAGAAATTCAAAAACTAACATATCATTGATCAATCTTACATGCGTCATTAGTTTTTTTGGATAAAGCTCGATCTCACATGCGTCACTAGTTTTTTGGTAAATCTCACATACATCACTAGTACAAGTACCCGAGGAGTCAAACTAGATGATCAGCTACTCCAATGGCTGCATCAGAAGAACCCAATGGCTATTTTGCATGGTACACAAATTTTTAGCTTATAGAGAAACAACTTATGTAGATGAAAGGATTCAAAGCAGCTACTTCTGATAAAAGATGAAATAGCTAGCCATATAAGATTATACCTGAAGATCTGATCTAATAAAGCATCATCAAGAGATCTTCGAGAAAACACCTTGTATGTCATATCATTGTCCTTGTGCTTCTTAATAACTGAGATGCTTGAAAAAGGAACGTCAGGTGTCTCGACAGTGCCCACCAGTTTTGGAATATCTGATATGGAACCTAACGCAAAATAAGCCTTGCAGAGAAAACCATCCCAATTAGTGGAGAATAACATTAGCACTTTCCTTTTTAGTAATTTTTGAAAGCATAATGAGATTCTATTTTGAGTAATTTTTGTATCTATAGTGAAGAACAAACAAATCATGAGATGGAGTGCTCACAGGATTTAATAGACCTCTAACAAAAGTTGTATATGTGTGCTGTAATTTCCTCTCAGGTATTGAAATTTCTGGAAGAAAGTGAATTTTCAGCTCATCTAAAGGTGTGCCAACCACTGTTATTCCACATGGGTAAATCTTTCCTTTCGAGGTATTGAGTTGATAATTTCCCCCCAGGAAAGAAACTGACTTTACTTCTTCATTAAGGTGCAATTTGACATCTGAATGATTGATCAATCCAGCAGCCATTTGCTGATTCCCTCCTTCAACTGACCATAAGCCTTTTGTGCTTCCAGCCAAAGATACAGCACCGGCAAGTCCACTGATGCTGACACTTTGCCCATAATTGATTCTTGTGATAACCTACAAGGGCAAGAAACCTTGTTGATAAGAAAACAAAAAAATGCTGTATTTCGAGTATTTCAGATCCAAATTCAAACTTTATATTGTGCCTGCCATTTTTAAATTGATCAAAAGGTTAAAATTCTGCTTCAATCTTGAAGCAGCATCAAGTTTGCTGAAGCAGAAAATTTCAAATATCTGAGAATTTCTGAATAAATCTCTCTTCATCTAATGAAAAATCTCGCCCATGGTTCCTATCTCAGCCTCTAGAAAAATCTCCTATACTAATACACACATGGGCGGATCCACATAGAGAAATGTGGTGCTCAAGCACCCATTGTCCATGGTATCGAACACATAATTTTATAGGCAATTTCGCATGAAATGGATATATATTTAGGTGGGCACCCATTGCACAAACAAATTGGTGGGTGCTATTGGTTAATGTAATTTGAGGATGCGCTCTGCGTGCTCCGGAGTTCGATTCCTACATGGTGCACTCTTTGTACTCGGATATTTCTTCCCTTCGTATTTCTTATTCCTTTTTTTTTCTTTTTTCTTTTTTCTTTTTTCTTTTTCCGGAAGTTTTTCTTATTCGTTTGACTTTCTTTTTCGTCTTCCTTTTAATGTTCTTAACTTTGCCATTTTTCCTTCTTCAATTCATTTAGTTCGTGACACAAAAAAGAAAATACATTCTATTTACCACCACCAAATTTGACAACCTATATTGTGGTTTGGAATCTCACAATAATGATAATATCCAAGAAAATATGGATATTCATATTTTTCATCATTCAATCTATTTTTTATCTGTATTAAATTCAATGGTTCAAAAAATTTATCTAGTCCGTCCATATCAATCCGACTCCTCCCATCATTTGCTAGCACTAATTAATAGTGAGCACCCATTACCTTAAAATGCTAGATCCGCCACCGAATACACACCTCATCTTTCCTATTAAAAATAACCTTCTATTTTACCAATACACATGCATAAGATGTACATATTGAGGCATCTTAAGCCAAGCATATCATGTGGAAGGTCAGTTAATCTAAAAGACCTGTAACCATATGAATCAATCAACTAAGTCATTGTCACCCATTATAATAAGAATTTTCATGTGCTTGGCCGATGAAAAGATATAATTAAATAAACAAACGCATGCTCTTTCTAACAATTTAAGCTTTTAGATGAGTTGGTCACACAATTTACTATGGTATCAGATATATCAAAGGCCCTGGGTTCAACCTTAACCCAAACCTATTATCAAAAAGAATCTTCACGTGCTTTATCACTGAAAATAAATCATGCCCGCACGTGCAAGGACATTCTGAAGACAAAGAAAAAAGTAATAATCTGAATAAGGAATTTTTAAATCGACTTAGATTTCTAGACAAGGAATCTTTTTCTCTCGATATACTCGAAGTGCGCTCTTTAAAACAATTTAAGCTTTAGATGAGATGGTCAGGCATTTTAATATTTGGGTTCAGCTATATCAATCCTCCAAATGCATTCCGCGTTATTTAGGTCTTCTGCATTCCAACACTTAATAATTTGTCATTTAATACATTTAAGAAAAATTAGGGATTTTCTAAATTTAGATAAATCTCACACTCATCCTACACAGGCATTCAAATTTCTAACTAGAAAAAAAATTGTAAGTGTAAAAATAACAAATAAACCTTAATGTCAATTGGTAGCGCCAATATGAATCTTTTACTTTAATTTTATAGTGATCTTGGCAATTCTTGTTGGATTTTGCATCTGTTACTGCTTAAGTTTTTCCCACAATAATAGTTCTTTAGTTTTAGGAGGAGTCTAATACTTTAATTAGGAGTACTACTTTTTTTATGTGGCTATTTAAAGTTCTGGTTAATGAAATTTTAGAGATAGATTTTCAACCTTCTTGATGCTTGCATCTTTTCAAAAAAAAAATCCTTATAGTGCTGATCTTTGATAGATCTATAATTTCGCTGGAAAAAAAAAAGGAACCAATTTCAACCACCTTAAACCATTTTTATCTCGTGCCTATTTTTAAAGCATACCCATTTTTAACTCATCAATTTTTAATCTTATTTCCAACCATGGCAAGCAGTAGTCTCTCTTTGAATTCCTTCACAATCCTTCTACTAAAGACTATCAAATTTGGTCAGTGAAGATGAAATCCCATCTTGAAGTTTATAATCTATGAAAGGTTGTAATAGAAGATAGACCTATACAACCACTCCCAACAAATGCTACCATTGCCCAAACCAAAGCTCAATCAGAAGAGAACATTAAGAAATATAAAGCCAAAACTATAATTTAAAATTTAGTTGCAGGTTCAATCTTCTCTAAAATCATTGCATGTGAGACAACAAAAGAAGCTTGGAAAAAACTCAAACAGTAATATCAAGGAAGTGAATGAGCCAGCCAAAATCAAATTTTGAGTTTGGTAAGAGATTCTGAATCTCTTAGAAAGCAAGAGGATGAGACGAGCATAAGTATTATGATACAATTTCTTTAATTATCAAGAGAATCAAGCTGCTCAGAAGATTTCAAAGATGATAAAAATAGATGAAAAAATTCTTGTGACAATTCTAGAGAGATTCGAGCCCAAACTCTCCTCTATAGGAGAGTCCAAAGATCACTCTACCATCCTTGTTGCATAATTATTAAGTGTTCTTCAAGCACAAGAGCTTCTCTTTTTTCTTATGTATCGGAACGAAGGTACTCCTTTGCCACCTTTTTGGCAATTTTCTACTGTCTACTAATATAACATTGAATAGCATAGTTAACCATAATATTCCAACATTTCCCGGGAACTTCAAAACCTCTGTATTCATTTAAAAATTAAAATATGGTCGAATAGAACTAAGAGTAGAATTACACTCCTTTGCGGCATTAGCTTAAAGTAGTTAATGTTTAACTTAAACATGTACACAACTTAAATAAGAGAAGGAATAGTAATTCTAAGTTTAAGTCAACTGAACTCCATGGTTCATCCATCAATTCATTATACTTGAGCAGAATTTTTCGTGTACGCGTAAATGGGCTCCATTGTTAATTGATCAGTTCAAACACCCTAACAATGCACTCGTACTTTGCAATACTTTTGTTAAGATAACTTTTCCCTTATCAGAAAGATTAAATTCATTTTGGGAATTTGAAGGCTGAATGACAATATCAAATGCATTTTTAAACCCAATTCAGAAACCAGAAGCTGCAAGAACTATCTAAAGAATATAAAAACCAGCAACTTTATGTGTTCCTACGAATAACTTTTCACCTCAGAGTCACACATAAAAATTCAGTGAATCAGCTTTTTCATCTAATATTTGTTATGCCAAGAGATACATCAATATATCATATCTTAAATGCAGAAGAAAGGCTCCAGGAATAATATTCAGTTTTAAGAGTTGTTTCTGGAAGAAGAAGAAAAGAAGCCCCCAATTCCTCACCTAGAGTCTATGTTGCTCGGACTCGGGTGCAGGTATCTGATATGAGTGCATATCTCAAGGTTGGATTCGTCATCACACAAATTTTAGGATTTGGGGGTATTGGATCAAAGTACGGATACGACTAATAAAAGACAGTGTTAGTGCAAGGTAAGTGGCATCTGTTTCCCTATGTTGCTCGGACTCTCCGAAAATGGTACCGTATACGTGTTGGATCCTCCAAAATAGTGTATTTTTGGAGGATCCGACACGGGTGCGGCATCATTTTGGAGAGTCCGCGCAACATAGCTGTTTCCTACATGCCTGTGTGCATCATATTCCAAGAATGGATCATCAAACTATCAACAAGAAAAGGCTAATTAATTTTGCACAACCAGGTCATTCTCTAACATGTCTCTAAGCTCACATCATATCTGCTCCAGAAAATGGCTCCTCAAACTATCAACAAGAAGAAACAACTCGATTCCATGTGATGAGGTCTCGAGCCTTGACATTAAACCATTTAGTCCTGCTCCAGATTAATTGTTCAGTTTGACACTTTTACGTAGTTTCAAAACAACTCATCCGGGAAGGGGGAATATTGTAGCTTCGCAAAAGAAAAAGCAAAAAACAAAATATGTAATAATGTCATGAGAAGTCAATGGCATTATACTATATAGATATCTTTTTTATATAAGATAAATGTTTATTAATAAAGGTACCAAGAAGGTAGTCAAAATTACAACCAAACAAGACAGACCCTACAACAATCTCTAGTTACATATTTCCAAGTGAGTCTAAAAATTCCATATACTGATCAATACTCTCTACTATACTCCTTTTACACCAAAAAAACATATTTTGCAAACAAAGGTTCCTGACTCTAGAGATGTGGTTCCTTTTATTCTCGAAACAAGCACTATTCCTATCTGTCCAAATAGTCCAGAAGACACATAAAGGGATAGTTCTCCAGATCTGCTTTTGTATCCTTCCAATCCTCTGCGCGTTCCAGCTCTCCAACAAGCTCTTAACATCTGACGGCATAACCCAAGCTACACCACACGTATATAGGACAAGCTCCCGGCATAGCTTAAGCAAACTTACAATGAATAAAAAGATGATTGACTGATTCCAAATCCTCTTTACATAGAAAACATCTGTTGCTTAAAGGAAAACCTCTCCTTTGCAAATTATCGTGGGTTAAGCATACTTTCCTATAGACAATCCACCCGAAACAGGCTACCTTGACAGGTGCTTTGGTCTTCCATAGTATTTTCCAAGGCCAATTTGACTCAAACTGTTAAGATTATATCTGAAGAAGGTTATAGCAGCTTCTAACAGAGAACTTCAAGTCATTGTTCGCTGTCCAGATCATAGAATCCTCTTTATCCTCTTCTACCATTGTTGTACCCAGTAGATGTATAAATTGTCCCACGTCCTCCATCTCTCAATCATTAAAGTCTCTTCTGAAACTTAATTGCCACCCATTGGAGGAGTAGAAATCAGAAACACTACCATCTCTATTAAAAGAAATATTGTATAGAGTTGGGAATCTGTTTTTCAAGTTTATCTCCCCCAGCTCAGACCAAAATTTCATTTTGACACCATTTCCCAGTTTCAATTTAGTGTGCTGCTGAAACTCAGTCCACAATCTGCTTATGTTACTCCAAATGCTGCCTCTTGAAGCACTTTGGGCAATAGGAGGGCACCATATATCCTTCTTCAAATACTTTGCATTTATCATATTCTTCCAAGTTTTTTCCTTACCATCATTATACCTCCACAACCATTTGAATAATAAACTCTTATTATGTATTCTCAGATTTCTAACCCCCCAAGCCTCCTCCTTTCTTATCAATCATTACCCTCTGCCATGCCTTCCCATAGAAAGTTACTTCTTAGGGTATTTAATTTCTTTTCAACATACACTGGCAATTGAAACATAAACATTAAGTATGTTAGAATTCCATCCAATACACAGCCTACTAAAGTAAGTCTACCCCCAAAAGATAGATATTGTTTTTTCCATGGAGTCATATTACTGTTACATCTATCAGGTACCCTTGCCATATTCTTTGATCATTCTTCTTAGCACCCAAAGGTAGCCCCAGATAAGTTGTAGGCAATTGCTCCACCTTACATCCCAGTACCTCCACTAAATCTTCTATACAATTGTCTGCATTAATACCAAACAAGGTACTTTTTGACAGATTCACCCTCAATCCTATCACTGCTTCAAAAATTAATAGAATCCCTCTGAGATACAAGAATTGTTCTCTATTTGCTTCACAAATAATCAGTGTGTAATCTGCATACAATATAGGAGAAATGTTACATTTTATCCCTCCTCTTCTTCCAACCTACAACCCCCTGATCCAACCTAATTGCTCAGCTTTTTTTAGCATTCTACTAAGTATTTCCATGATCAAAACAAATAGATATGGGATAGAGGGTCCCCATGCCTTAGCCCTTTGGAAGAACTAAAGAAAACTTGAGGACTTCCATTAATGAGCACTGAAAATTTTACTGTGGATATGCAATATTCAATCCATTTCAGCCATCTATTAAACAAGCCCAATTGACATGATCATATGCCTTTTCAAGATCCAATTTACAAAGTACCCCTTGCCTTTTATTTCTCACCAAGTATTCCACACATTCATTTGCAACCATAGAAGCATCAACTACTTGCCTCCCCCTAATAAATGCATTCTGATTATTGGAGATTAGCCTTCCTATCACCAATTTAAGTCTTTCTGCCATCAATTAAGCAATAATTTTATAGACACTTCCCAAAAGGCTAATGGGTCTGTAATCTTTAATTTCCACTGCTTCCTTCTTTTTTGGATCTTTTCTCTTTCACACTTTTTCCAGGAGAAGCAATTTTGTTAGCAGAAGAAGAATCACATTTCTTTGGCCTTCCGTTTTCAATTCGCAGCAATAGCTCCAGCAATTTTTCTTTCTGTTGAATTCACTCCCAATTGCTTGCTGATTCTTGTCATGTGTCGTTTTACCCATCTGAATGCTTCAATCTGGTTTAATCGCTCTTGTATGTTTAAGTTCTCCCTCTCATGTCATGGAAGCATTAGTATCTCTTGGGCTGTTCTGATTTCCATCTCATCTTCACTTGTAATGTGAAGGTGAAATTCTTGTGGGACTTCCTCGAAATCATTATCTGAATACCCCACTAGCATGCTCTCCATCTTCCTATCTGAATTGTAAATTGTATCTTCTCTGCTCGAATCGTCTTCCAAATTTCCATCTGCTTCTTTTGCCATTTCAATAGCCCATAGGCTCTCATTTGTATCTTTTGACTGTACGTCCTCCAAATCCTTCTCCTCCACGGAAATTATCCTCTCCTTGTTCGCCTCTACTTCGAGCAGTGGGTCAAAGGAATTTGACAGTTTTGGATCTCCAGATGCGTAAGCATGCTGAGAAATAATACATGGGCCGGCCACTTTTGGTCTATAAAAGACTTTTTGGCCCATTTTTGGTTTAAAACCCCTTCCTTTATTTGCATCTTTTGGGCCTCCCTTCGAAGATTTGTTATTGAAAGCCTTTTGCCCAAAATCTCTCCCAGGATTCTTTTTTTTGAATTAGTGGAGGGCCTAGGGTTACAAAAGGACATCTAACCCTTTCCTTTAGGTGACACGACACCTCTCCCTAAACTCTCAAATTTAGATTATTAAATATTTTTGGCACGCTTATATCACGTGTATCCACTCCCTGTTCTTTCATCTTGGAAATCGACGGCGCCAAGTTCATCTCATTAATGCGACTGTTCGAGTTCTGGGCTTCGATGGTCATCCTCCTTTCTCCGATCACCTTCTCTGTTACTTTTCCGATTACATTCTTCCACCCATGAACCAGATTCTACCCATGGAGGTATTCTGAAGATAAGATTCTGCACAATCAATTCCACCGTTGCCGGAAAAGGTGTATCGGAACTTTTCACGCATATTCTCGCCCATTTCAGATGGTGTCTATTTCTTGTATCTTCATCAATACCCAGAAAACCTCCAAAACGATCACCAACCAATTTGAAGATATTCTCCGACAATATACTACCTCCGCTTCATTTTATATCATGATGTTTGACTAAAAGTGGGTTTCTGAAAGAAAAAAGACTTTTGACACATAAGCTAACCAACATATATATAAGATATAGTGTGTTTGACTGGAAATGGAGTTTAAAAATGAATTAACTCTATACACATAAGCTCTATAATGTGTGAGTGTATGGGTGTGTAACATACTAAAAATAATCTTAGGATCTTGTGGTTTCAAACATGTCATGCCATGCCTACAACAGATTGTCCCTAAGCGTAAAGTGGGAATATTAAGCAATTTCAAAATATAGAGAGGTGTACATACTTTTGGAACAAACTTAAAAGAAAAGAGTGTCACATAAAATGGAAGAAGGGAGTAATAATCATAATAAAAGCTTTTCACAATCAGAGGCTAGTAAATCTTTTCACTTGTAATAAAGAGAGCCTATGTCGTCAAAAACATTTAAGTAATTAAAGGCCAGAACTGGGAGGAAAGCCTAATTGTTCATAGCTTCTTGTTCAACAACCGTGACACACTTGTTAAATCATATAGTCATGAAGCCACATGGCTGAGCCTCACAACCACATTGAAAACACCATAGGCAAAGTAGCAGAGGACCTGAGCGAAAACTGTTGATCAAGAACACAACTGGTAATGGTAACAGGATCTAGTACTGATTGAATGCTTGGGTGGGAAATTCTGGTAAAGAAATTTTCTTGCATATTTTGGATAACAAAGGACAAGGAGACAATAGACAAGATGGATGTCAAGACAATTGATGCTTCCTTGCAGAGGACATAAATCTATAATAAATTTTGGTAATGAAGAGAAAGTGCAATGGAGAAGATCATCCACGAAGAGCTTCTCAGTAAAGTCATATCACGATTGAATTATCAATGGTAGCGTCTAGGTCTATGGAGATCCTTATGGAAGATAGAGACAGTTAAGCAATAGTTTTCATCATCTGTTGTGCAGCTTGGAAACTATAGTAACAATGAGTAACTTGAAAAGGATGAGACTAAAAATAGTTAACAACAACAAAAACCACTACTCAGTAAAATCCCATAAAGTGGGGTCTGGGGAGGGTAGTGTGTACGCAAACCTTACCCCTACCATGATAGGGCAAACTAAAAATAGTTAGTTAATCGCAAATAATGAGGATGTCACTTTACCTTAGATATATCGTCCCTAGTGTATTATTCTCTGTTTGATATTGCATGGAGGTTATCTAAACTAAGGAAGATGGAAACTAGGAAGGAGTTGTGGAATGTCCATCATATGGTCGATTTTTAAGAGAAATCGTCAAGGGCTCAAAGTACATTCTAGAGGTCAAAAGACCTCTTGTGTTTCATTTGTAATTTTAGTGTAGAATAGACAGTCCATACTGTACTACTTGAATCTTTTTGGAGATTTGAAGGGAGCACGTACAGTAAAATCAGCAGCCTGGCATCATATTAATAAATTATGTTGACTTATCAAAATAACTCATTGTCTTGTACAAACTTTAGCATCTACTGTATTAAGGACATCAGACACTTTCTCATAAGTCCAATTGTCGTATCGATAGCCAACATGACTGTTATCTTTACCTCAAAAAACAACAAAAATGATATGTCATTTTTACCCTTACCCACCTGACAGTGTAAAGAGTATGCAGATGACAAGAACAAACTTGGTTATATTCTAAAAGGCTAAGCTCATCTTGTTTATGAAGGCACTTGTAAATAAAGGATGATAATAAACTGCAGAATAGGCAAGAGTTACCATCAAGCACTAACATACTGAGTGGTATGACCTCTGCCAATTTAAAGCACAGCAAAAAAGGAGTAGCAACAGGATACATGTTAACATGAAAGGAATCATACATGGAGAACCTAGAACTGAGGTTTTTTCTTACCATGACAAGTTCTTGAATGAGTCGAGGAGACAAACCAGCATCTAGTAACTCCTCCTGCAATGTTTGTTTCGTCATATTGTAAAGCCCGGACCATTTAAGCATCTCTTCCACAGTCTCAAATACTGGCCGCGACTCAAAACTTTTATAATACTTCAAGAAACTGTCCACGGTGCCCTACAAACAAATTTCCATGTCACAACATCACAAGAAGCTCAAGGGCTTTCTGCAGAAAGCAAATGTCTTAACAATTAGCTGGAACTTGCCCAAGAATCTTCTTAAGCTGTATACCATGCTCATGCAGTCAAAGATCGAGTGGAAAGACTCCATCAAGAAAAAAGTTGAAATTGTAAGCGCTATGATAATAAGTGGAATGAACCATAATGAAGGAAGCAACATCGTAAACACTGTGATTATTCCCTCATGGCTTATAGTGTGTCTACAATGTTCATAAACAGCATTATACATGAACAAGGCCATCATAACAGTACCACCAAAAATTATGTATGTTGTGTGTGTGTGTATATATATATATACTTTTCAAAGCACTACGTCCAATCTACGAACGTAACAGTGGTGGAGCCGGGAGGTAGAGGGCAACAGCCAGCTACGCCCTAGTTTTTCTATAACTATCAACAGTACCCTAAAAATTTAGTAAAATTTTCCTTAACTCAATATTCCACAGACGACACATGCCGCTCTTCTCAAGAATGTGGCTCCGCCACTAAGTGTATAATATAGATGATAAGGAAATCGATAGAACGAAAACAAACTGTGTACATTGTTACCAGGACAAACCAAGGGCACAAAAACATGGTCCTAAATGCCAAAAGCACAACATTCACAATCAAATATAAATAGGATATGCATAGAAATCTGTACCAACTAACAAAGCCTCAGTCCCTTTAATTAACTACCTTGTTTGCTCTTAAATACCTACACCGCAAGTTGCTCCTTAGATCCCACTAATAACTTACAGAAAAATAGAGCTATACTAACTATATTCTCCTAATCTTTTGCCCACTGCCTCAGTTTTTCACTATAGCATTAACTAAAAAATCTTGTTCCACAAATTTTTAGTTAATAAGAAAAGGAAAAAAGGAGCTGTTATACATGTTCCACAATTGCTAGTGAAGTACCTCAACGAAGGTGTTCATGCGAAACAGAGAGAAGCCATAGCGAAAGAAAAACAAGATGGAATTGGCGAAGGACACAATGCTTTGGAATATAGGGAGCTTCGATTGGGAGGTGAAGGTTTTGAAAACGAACTCGCGTCCATCCCAAATGCCAAATGAGGAATCAGATTCAGAAGGTCGGACGGAGAGATTTAGATATTTAGTGTAATTCAAAGCGTGGTAGTTCTTGGGGTGAAGAATGGAGGCACCGGCCTCGAATGTCTCGCCGGAAATAGTCACCGTTGCCATGCGCCCTCCGACAGCTTCGTGCCGCTCGAAGATTCTGATTGTGCCGATTTCGGAGTTTGAATAGGTCCGCAGGAAGTGCGCCACGGAGGAGCCGCCGATTCCGCTGCCAATAATGCAGACAGTCGGAGATGATTCCGTGGAGATGAGTACAAGTGATAAAACCACAACATTAATGGCTGACCGGAGATTCTTCATCATTTCGTTGCTTACTTGATATGTTATTAATTATTATAGCCTCTTTGCTTTAAGCTTCTAAAATAAGCTCAAAAATATTATTAGTTAAGTTTGACTAATTAAATTTTTGAATGGCAATTAATATTTGATAAAAAATATTTTAAAGGAAAACTTATTTTTGAGGGCGAACGGCACAAATAGCCACTAAAAGCAGTGGATTTTATTTTAAAGCCACTGTTTTCAATGTATTTAGACTTTAGCCACTCCTTTAAAAAACTTAT